AATGCTCTTTCTGGCCAGAAATCGTGTCAAAAGTGGAGGAGTGGCTGAGCTGGAATCTACCAGATCCTGAAGTTGCAAATGTTCGTCCTTTGATCCAGCATGACACCATAGGTAGGAAAATTTGGGATTATGCGTCATATCTACTGACAGCAATTAGCAAATAGCGAGTGATCAATCACCGTTGAAACGATTTTTGTAGATGAGGCATTAGACGAGTTCGAGCGACAAATTGTTGGCCCTCAGCAGCATGCATTATACGAATTCAAAACTCAGACGGTTAGTGTGCCAATGACCGATGTTTTTGACACGGCGCTGGGTGAACTGCAAGTGAGCTCAGAGACAAAAGGGTAAGTGCATTTTATCAAACCTTTCTATAAAGGTCTTCTAGTTGTAGTCTGGCTTTTGTTCTGAAATGGACAGCGTTGGCGGTAAATTCATGTAGCTATCACACTCTGTGGAAGAGGCCGTTGCAGAGTGCGGCTAAAAAGGTCGCGGTCCGGGGTCGAATTGTGAATCCGCTCCCGCCCTGGCCAACCAGGAATTCTCCCCTCCGGGAATGCCAAATTGCTAACAGATTCGTTTTGGAGGATAAGAACACTGACTTGTACATCGGCTGACATCGGGTCATTCGAAAAGTCACTACTATTCTGAATGAGAGTAGAATGCGTGCCGCATTCCGAAAAGTTATTGATCAGTGCCGATCCTATCCTTGTCTTCTAATGGTGGTAGAGTCTTTCACCACATTCAAGACCGAAAAGGTGACAGGAAATGTGGCAGTGGCGGTGAAAGAGCCGTTGCTGATGACATCACCTGCGCAGGACCTGATTTTCTTCACGTGGTAGTGCTACAGTCGCGTATACTCTCTGAGAGCTGCTTTCCTAGCTTCTGCCCGTTCACTGCATGAATGTAGCATCCCACTCTCGGAAAAGATCCCTAAAAATTTGGGTGTAACTGGAGAAGATCTGTGGAAGTTCTGCCACGGTTGTAGGAAGTCTTTTGGATGCCTCTTCCTATTCTCTTTTCCTTTCCATTGAAAATTTGATAAAAATGATGCCGTGGCTTGGAACACCTTAAGTACTCATTGCACTAAATTACCTTATACTGTTAGGCTTTCTATTCAGTATTCGTAAATGCGGTAGTTTAACTACTTGTTCTCTACGCCCGCTGCTATCTTAACTGAAAACGTAAATGTTATTAGACAGTAAAAAATGAAATTTCTGCATCGTGTAAGGTATTCTTGAGTGGATTTTGGAACCGCAGCCAAGATTTACTGTTTTACTT